TTTTTAAAAAAGGAAAAAAGCCTTTTTAACAGTTTTTTCCCCAAAAAAATTTTTTTTCCGGGGGGGGGTCCCTTTAACCGCCCTTTTTTTGGTTATTTTGCCCCTGGGCCCCCATTCGGGGGGGGGCCCCAGCCGGAATAGGGCCCAATTTTTTCCCTCGGGCTCTTCTCTTCTCCGAGAGGATTAAGGGGGGTTCCCCCCCCCTTTCCCCCCTCGCCCCCCCCCCCCCCCCGCATCCTGAGTGTCGTCCACAGTTTCCTCAGGTGGGGCCGGCGTTGCTGACTCCCTGTGCTCTTCACACGTACCTGCCGCTGTGGGGTCTGTGCAGGAAAGTGCCTCAGCGCTGCCTAACCGTCCGGCACTGGGGTTTGAAGCTGGGGTCACCTCGGTGACCACGCCCAGTGTCCAGGAAACCGTGTGTCCTCCTGGAGGCGTTACGGGGAGCGTGTGCCGGCCACTTCCTGTTGCCCTCGGGGCAGGGGCGGCCTCTGGACAGGACCCAGGCCTTCCACAGGCTCCTCGAACTGTTTGTTCTCCAGCTGTTCCCAAAGGTCGAGTTAGAAACACACATTTGTCAGGACAACCTGTCAGACTTGCTGATGTGCTCACACCCTTCACGCCAGGCCCTCTTCTCTGCCTTTCACGGGAGGAGAACCAGGACGGGGTGGAGGTGACGAGCCTCTTGGTTCCACAGGTTCTCACAGGTCTGTCTTGGAGGCGTGGTTGGCAGACGGGAAGCTGTGCACGGGGAACGCACACGTTGATCTCGTGTTCAGTCACGTTAACCAGTCACAGCTGTTGGCCTTCATCTGTTTGGATGAGGGGGAGAATTGTTGTCTGAAATGTGTTCAGAATAAAGATCTGGCCTGGCCGGCGTGGCTCAGTGGTTGCACATCGTCCTATGCGTCAGGGGACCTATTCCTGGTCAGGGCACACGCCCGGGTTGCAGGCTCCAGCCCCAGTGGTGGGTGTGAGGAGGCAGCTGATCAGTGATTCTCTCTCATCATCGATGTTTCTCTCTCACACCCTCTCCCTTCCTCTCTGAAACCAATACGAACATGTCTAAAACATGCATCTGCACGCAGACCAGCCGCTGTGAGTGTGTGGTCTCACCCCTGGCGCTGGGGTCAGAGGTGACAGGACCCGACGATCAGAGGCCATGCAGCCAGCAGGTGTGTGTGTGTTTGGGTTTTGCTTTGTTTCGATTGGACTCGGATACGCACATTCACCATTTAACCATCTTCCTGCGCCCCGTGCGGCGTGTGAAGTGCAGGCACCTGGTTGTGCAGCCGTCGCCACCGCCATCACCACCACCACCGCCTGCAGAGCTGCGCG